TTATGCAAGGACGATTAGAAGAGAAGAGGAAGATACTGTATGAACCATACGCATGAAGTTATTTGAGCAACATCTGGAAACCTGAAGTTGGGGAATCATGATCCTTCTTAGTTTAAAGGATTAGATTAGATTAGATTAGATGGGAGGTTATAATTCTCAGCCCAGACAAAATAATTATGTAACTGATATCCTCAATGGTCAAAATCAAAAATCTATTGCCTTGAGTGGACAGGAGAAAATTGTCTAGGATTGAAATTCTGGGGAAAATATTTGTATGTGTGTGTGTGAGAGAGAGGGAGAGGCATGTATACGTGTGCCTTGGTCATCTCCCATTTGAATTACCATAATGAGCTGTACATGAGGTTGTTCTTGAAGACTAACAGAAACATCAACTGGTCCAGAATACAGCAGCATGCACAGTTATCCCCCCCCCCCCCAGGTTTGTCCATGTATTGGCTCCCAGTTTCTTTCTGGGTGCAATTCAAAGTGCTGCTCATCACCATTAAAACCTTATCTGGCACGGAATCAGGTTGTCTGTGGGACCACCTTCCCTAAGGACATCTTTTTTATTTTTTAACTTGTTAGCCTTAATTTTTAACTTGTTAGTCTTAATTGCACTTTTAACTGTTAAATTATGAGATTTGGATTAAATTTCTTTTTAACTTTATCATTAGATGTTTTTTACTGCTGTGAGCCACCCTGAGTCCGGCTGGAGATAGGGCGGCATATAAATCTCATTAATAATAATAATTAATAATAACCTATCCATCATATCCAATCAAATGTTCCTTCCCCTAAATATTGCCCTTGTACGGGACCTAGGGAATGTGGTGTTTCTGCGGCAGCCCCTGCCCTATGGAACACATGTCCCCTGTCAGGCCTCTCCTTCCCTAACCTTCCATAAAGGTCTGAAGACCTGGATTTTATTCCCAAGCTCTGGGATAAAATGAAGTGACTGTACATCAGAAGTTTGACTTTGATGCCAGGGTTTTGTTTTTAATGTGTTTAATTTTTATAGCTTTAATATGGCTTTTATGCCATTCTAACTTTTGATTGGGAGCTGCTCAGAGTTGGTTATAAGATATTATAACTCTCTCACTCTCTCTCTCTCTCACTCTCTCTCTGTTTGTCTGTCTTTTAAATTAATAAGACTGGATGTGTGTCCTTTGATTCTTGTGCCCTGCAATAGCCAGATATTCTGCATAAATATGACCTCTTGCCTGCAATAAAGCAGATCTTCTAATCTTACTGATTCTATGAAGCTTCTGCAACTAGCCGTTAACTGGATGCAAAGTTAAACTTCTAGATAGACACATTTTTTGCCATATCTGGATAAAGCCTGGCACTTGACGTGTGATGCAGTGAGGAGAATCAGGGAATGTAGCTCTTCCAAACCTGAGACAGATACAGAAAGAGACAGTCCCATAACAATCCAACAGTCTGTCAAGTAAAAGTAATAAGCAAATAACTTGCTCTCAAGATGATACACTATTGCATTTGGTAGGTGGGTGTTTATTGGCTCTGAGACTACGTTTTGCCTAAATGTTAAGAAATATATTGAGAACATGTGCTCTGCCTTGATAACATGCAGATTATATTTACAACAGAAAGCTTTTTATAAAAACTTGTTTGGCAGAACTCAAGTCTCCACTGTGCCAGAGATTAAATAAACGTCTGGTCTCACCATTAAACCGAAGATAGATTACCACCCTACCAAATATTGTTAATAGCAAATGAGAACAAGACCAATTCAAAAGTTTCTGAAAAAGACATCTAATACCTCTTTTCTTCATTATAAAGCAGTCACATTTAATAGAAGCTATGTCAACAAGAGTCAATTTAGTATAGTGATTAAAGCAGTAGTGAAATCCAAATTTTTTTACTACCGGTTCTGTGGACATGGCTTGGTGGGCGTGGCATTGTTTGCTGGGCGTATTTTGAAGGATACTGCAAAATCTCCATTCCCACCCCACTCTGGGGCCAGCCAGAGATGGTATTTGTTGGTTCTCTGAACTACTCAAAATTTTTGCTACCGGTTCTTCGAATTACTCAAAATTTCCACTACCGGTTCTCCAGAACCTGTCAGAACCTGCTGGATTTCACCCCTGGATTAAAGGCATCAGGCTACAAACTAAAGAATGTGAGTTCTAATCCTGCCTTATGCAGAAAGCCAGTTGGGTGACTTTGAGCCATTCACTTGTCTCTCAGCCCTTAGAGAGAAAGCAATGGCCAATCATTTCCAAAATGTTGTCCAGAAAACAACAAGCAAAATACCTATCAACAAAAACTGCTCTACTCTGGCCTCCACCCATGTGCAAAAGTTGAACTGATCCAACACAGGGGCTGTGCTCATCTCTGCACAATACTATGAAGTTTGCAGAACTCTTCATAAGCCAAGCTGAGCTGAAGTGATTAACTTTGAGAAGAAGCCCAAAGAATCACTGTAAATATGCCTTTGTCGCATTTCCTTTGAGACTGTGGCACAGGTGTTTTTCATTTGCCTCCCAGATCCTCAATATCCCCCTCAAGTTGAGACATTGTTGTGGCATCTCCCCATCACAACCAAATAAGAAAAGAGAACAATTTGAAATGTTGCTATTTTGATTTTCCACTGGCCAGTTGGAGGGTGAGCAGATATGCTTGTGGGTCAGGGCAAATGCAATTGTAAGAATTTGTCAGAAAAAGGTGATCTACAGCCTCACCCCGTCCCATACTAGCTTTTTACATTTAGGAGTCTTATCCCCCATATGCCTGCAATGCTAACTAAGTAAGGGACTTTTTAGTAATGCAGCCACACCTTATTCAAACAACAAAAAGGAACAGGTACATTCTAAACATTTCAAACATTCTTAGCATTTAAGCAAATAAAGATGCCGCTGCACAAAAAAAAATGTTACCATACAAATTACCACTCGGGGTTGTAATATGAATTAGAACCACTGCATTGTTCCAATGAGTATACAGTAACAGCACAGATGTTATAGAAGAGCATTTTTGTCAAAAATAGTACTGAAATAAAAACCTGTATTTACTTCTCAAGCTTGGGGAGAATCCTTTGATACTGGAAAAATCAGGACAATATTGCCCTCAATTGGCAAGAATGTTTATATACAAAAACACTTAAACCAGTCAATTTTTACGATATCAATTGCAAACTAAATTAAATTTAGCCATGGAAATTATGTTTCCATGGCTTGGTGCCACTTTAGAAATGGTACAATAATTCTGCTCACAGCAGACACTGTGCTGAAGTAATATGTTACTTCTGTTCTATGCTGGCACCTCATACAACTGCCACTTAAATGTTATAATGGTTTCATGCGGATGTGGGAAGTAAAGCCTTGAGATATGCTACCATAGCAGGAATCTAGGATTAGACTCCTCCTCTCCCACTAACACCGACAGGAGCTGAACCTGGAGAAAGAAAGAACTAGTGTAATACTATGTGTCCCACCTCTAATTCCTAGAGCCAGTCCAGAAGTATACCATGGATTAATAGTATCAGAAGCCATTGAAAAGTCAAAGAGAGCTAGGATGGATGCTCTCCCCATTCCAGGGGTGAAATGCTCCCAGTTCGGACCGGATCGCCTGATCTGGTAGCGATGGAGGCGGGTGATTCGAAGAACCGGTAGCAAAAATCCCTCCCCCTCCCCCCCCAGCTGAGCCGCACAATCATCAGAGGCTTTTTTAAAAAAAAAATTAAATGCATTTTTTCTACAACCTCTTTGGCAGAAAAAATGCTTTTAAAAGTAAAAAAAAAGCCTCTGATGATCCCAGCTGAGTTGCCTGATTGACAGAGGCTTTTTTTCTTTTAAATGCCTCTGACGATCCAAGCTGAGTTGCCTGATCGGCAGAGGCTTTTTTTTCTTTTAAATGCCTCTGACGATCCAAGCTGAGTTGCCTGATTGGCAGAGGTTTTTTTTTCTTTTAAAAGCCTCTGATGATCCAAGCTGAGTTACCTGATCGGCAGAGGCTTTTAAAAGAAAAAAAGCCTCTGCTGATCAGGCAACTCAGCTGGGATCGTCAGACCCTTTTGAAAGCATTTTTTTACAACCTCTTCGCCGAAGAGGTTGTAGAAAAAATGGTTTTAAAAGAAAAAAAAATTGGCCATGCCCACCCAGTCACATTACCCCCCCCCCCACCAAGCCACACCCACAGAACCGGTAGTAACAAATTTTAGATTTCAAAGCTTTCCCAATACTATGTCCTTGTCTGAAGTCAGATTGAAATGGGTCCAATAACCTTCCTCCAGGGGTCTCTAGAGCTCTAAGGTGACCCCCCCCCACCCAAAACATCCTTCTCTAAAATGAGGGATTTGAAGACAGCACAAAAAAATCAGGTTGAGGAAGGTATATGAGAATCAGCAGGGTCTATGAATGGCTGTTGCAGTGTGAGTGTGGAACGGATGGGGGAGAGTGCACAGGTGAGACATATACCCCAGCCCAGCAATCAATTACTTTCTCTGCTGACTTCCCCATTAACTCTCTAAAGATCCTGGCAGGAAAGATTACAAATGACAACCACATGATCGCGGGGTGCTGCAATCAGTCATAAGCACAAACCAGTTGCCAAGCATCCAGATCACGATCATGTGACTGTGAGGGCCCTGGAATGGTTGGAGCTCTAAAGACCAGTTGAAATCACCATTTGTTTAGTGCCATCATAACTTCAAATCATCATGAAATGAATAGTTGTAGATCAAGGACTATCTGTATATTTTAATGTAAATTAGATAACAAAAACATGGAATGAGCAGGGGACAAGGTAAAACATGAAACATCCTTCAAGGCAGAGCATGCACCATCTTCCAAGGAGAATTATGTGAGTTCAGATATATTGGTCTGAAAATTAACTTCTTGTTCATACTTGGAGTATAAAAAAAATACATTCATTCATTCATTCATTCATTCCAAATATGTTTACAGTATATGCTATTATGATGACAATTTCATCTACAGTATTTTCAATACAGATAAGACCAGGTTAGTGAAATATCCTACCTTGTGTGGTCCCATCTAGTCCCATGATGCATTTCATTGCTCTTATAATTTGTTCTGCTATAGGAGGAGCCATAGATGTGGCATAAGTTGCACTATGTGAATGAATTCGTAGATAGTCTACTAATTCCTTAAATCAAAAAAGAACAATATTTCAGTGTGGTCATCAAAATCCCCCCTTTCTGCTAGAATAAAAATTGGCAAATTGGCAATTTTATCCTGTACATAAAATTGTAGAATGGCATGATTTAATTTATCACTAAATGGCAATTAAATTCTTGTCCCCTTATCATTGAAATTTTATACAAACATGTTTTTGGATATTTCCTCAATCAGCCTTAAAGCAAAACAGTCAAAATAAAGAAACAAATAAAGAAAAAAAAATCAGTATATGCAGTGGTGAAATCCAATTTTTTTTACTACCGGTTCTGTGGGCGTGGCTTGGTGGACTTGGCGTGGCTTGGTAGGCATGGCTTGGTGGGCGTGGCAGGAGAAGGATACTGCAAAAACTCCATTCCCATTCCACTCCACGGGAAGGATACTGCAAGATCCCCATTCCCTTCCCACTTCTGAGGGAAGGATATTGCAAAATCTCCATTCCCACCCCACTCTGTGACCAGCCAAAGGTGGTATTTGCCGGTTCTCCAAACTACTCAAAATTTCCGCTACCAGTTCTCCAGAACCTGTCAGAACCTGCTGGATTTCAACCCTGCGTACGTAGCAAGAAAAATGTATTTCCAAATTATCGTGAAAAAAAATAAAATGCCTTATTTTGATTTTATTCATATATAGTACATGCATCACATACCCAGAAGAATGAAATAGTGCTACTTTGCCAGAGCAACAATTTTCATGCTGCTTCTGATTCTAATATGAACGTTGTTATCGTTATCCTCTTTTTAAAAACTGCCTTTCTGTTTTGTACTTCATTGTGAACCATGTTGAAGGATGTGAGCTTTCCTCTTAAAAATTATTATCCGCTCTGGTGCCTTTATCTGATATAAATCTAAATTCATAAAATTAATGCATAAACTAAATATACTGCATAGAGTTTAATGTTTAAATATGGTATGCTATCCGTATCCAGCTTTCATATTCACTTCAAAACAATATAGGAATTGAAAATTCAGAATGCTAACCGTACTATTTATGTATAATAAGATTTTCATTTATGCTTAGCTGTATGTACTAATTTGGCAAGTTCAGCAGGTAAATTAAAAGAGGAGGTTGGTATGACTAATTAAACAGAGCCATTTTCCTAGTAAGTTTTAGGGCGCTGTATATGTTTGCATTTTCATGATTAAATTATCAAAGCATTTTGAAACTGCTTGAGAACAATATGCAAATAGTTGCTGTATTTTCAACTGACAATAATACAGTATCTGACAACTTTAAACTGTCAGCAATCTGCAGTGGACCAGTGGAATGAAATACTAACAGAGTTAACATACATAGAAGAAAGGTTTATTCTTACCATCCTTAGGAATTACTAACAATCTCTACATTCTATGGCATTTGAGCACTCCTAAACTATGTGTCAGCCTTCAGAGGTGATTGAATTCTTAGCAGGTGTAACCAAATGGTGTCACAAATGGGGAGAAAATTTTAGTTGAGTAGTATGTGGAGAGACAGAGATTCCCCATCCCCAAAATAGGGAAAGAAGGAATTCCAAAATTGGAGTACTGATTATGCTTCACAGCATATTACTTGGGATGGAATCTATGTTGGCCGAGATAAAGATCTTTAGAGTCAGAGCAGTAAGATATTAAAGGCTATGAATCAGGATTATTTTTTGCTTTGGACTATCCTCCATAGTCCACACCTACCCCCCAAAAAAGCTCAGAGTCCATACCTAGCCCCCAAAAAGCTTTGACCAGAAGAGCAAGATCATTTCAGACAATTTTCTAGAGAAAAATGACTCTTTTTCTCATTTAAAGATGAAAATGGATGCATGAAGCTTCACAGAGAATTACATTTGCTTTGACCTTTACTGATAGTGCTTGCTTAATGACGATTCCTTCAGTGATCTTTTGAACTGAAAACTGCTGAACTAGTATTTAGTAGTCCGAGGACTTATGTTAGTTACCCCCACTGTCATAACATCATGATTAGGATGCTTGGAACCCATCTCGCAATTGTGTTGCAGCATCTCATGATCATGTGATTGAATTTGTGACCTTCTTTGCCAGTTTTCTGCAAACAAAATCAATGGCGAAGCTGGCTAGGGATTGCAAGTGGTGACCACGTGATTTCCTCAGTTAACAACTCTTGATGATTTGCTTAACAACAACAACCAGAAGTGGCAGAATTTTCATCCCTAAGTGATGTAGTCATGTGACATCTTACATTTTTAACACTGATAGAAATTCCAGTCCCAATTCATGCAGTTAAGTAAAGACTACCTGCAATTTCCTTAAATTGGCAAAACTGAGCTACCCAAAATTGGCCATTTTGCTGTCAGCTTTTAGGAGTGCAATCTCAAGATGCTCGGAGAGTTTCAAAATGAAGCTGAAGGCTGCAAACCAGTGGTGGGTTGCCCCCGGTTCACACCAGTTCTATAGAACTGGTAGTAAAACCGGAGGGAGGCTCCGGCCAATGACCCCACTGTCATCAAAACACTTCAGCACATGTGCAGAAGCTTCTGCGCATAAGAGCATGCGGCCCCGCTACAAACCGGTAGTAAAAATAAGTAGAACCCACCCCTGCTGCAAACCCATCCCAGCTGAGAGGGAAACCTTGCAAAATTTGAAAATCAAGTTCAGATTACCGTTGTTTCCTCTCTCAATCCACAATTTGTGATATCAATTTTTTTAGGAGCCACTTATTGTTACATCCATAATGGTTTGGCTATTGTTGAATGCCAATGCTTGCTGCTGTTACCTTTCTGCCAGCTATATAACCTCCAGCTGCTCCAAAACTTTTCGTGAATGTTCCCATCAATACATCAATATCATTAGGATCCATTCCAAAGTATTCCACAACTCCTCTTCCTGTAGGACCAACAGCACCTATGCTGTGGGCTTCGTCCAAGTAGACATAGGCTTTATATTTTCTCTTTAAGGAAATAACTTCTGGCAAGCGTACAATAGAGCCTTCCATGCTAGAAGAAGAAGAAAGTTAATGAGAACTGAGTACATCTAATGCATGAAACTGTATGAATTGATCCATTATAATGCCAATATCATGTCAACTGTTCCCTATTCAAGTATTTCCCCAAAGCAAATAAAAATTCTAAAACAGAATCATATTTATTTATTTTTTATTTATTTATTTTTCATATTTGTATACCGCCCTACTCCCGAAGGACTCAGGGCGGTGAACAGCCATAATAAATACAAATACATATAGAAGTTAAAAACTATATATAAGCAGTAGAAGAAATAAATTAAGAAAAATCCAGTTTGAAGGGCATCATTTATGGCTTTTTGGTTACTGTGCTTAACGTATTCAAAATATTGGAGTATTTTATATGGATTTTCTAGAATTTGCATAGTCAGTTAAAATTATATATTTTACATACCTATAAATGCCCTCCACTAGAATAAGAATTTTTTTCCATGCTCTTCGGCTTCGAGGTTGTCCCTGTATTACTGCATCCTTCAAAAGCTTTTCTAAGCTCTGCATATCTAATTTTAAAAATACAAGATAATGTGAAATATTGTATCAAATTATATATAAAATTTCTACAAACTGCAAATCTATTTTATAACAAATTTAAAACAAGTGTGAGATGCTTAGAAAAACAAACCAAACTTCTGTATGAAACTTTAGTAACTTTAGTATATGGACTGAATATATTGTAACTTTAGTATATGGACTGAATCTAGTGAAATTCAAATAACAATGTTTTTACCATCTCTTTTAGGAAAAAACAGTCCATTAAACTTGACAGATATATTAATGTGATATGCTTTAGAGTTATTTATATCTTATCCGTGCTCAGTCATATAATCTATTAAGTTTCCTGATATAAGGCAAGATCCTTCAAATTAGTGTATAATATCAAGTTATTGATTAGAAATTGAAATATTTCAAAATATAACGCTGTTGCAGCTTGGAGGGACAAAGAAACTAAATAATGCAATAACAAATTTTAATTTGCATTCCATTTGCTTTTAAAAACTAACAGAGTTCCATTCACTGAATCTACACACCATTACTCTGATACAGGAAAAGGTCAAAAGCATCTCAGAATCTATGCCAGCAATTTAGTTTTGATGTTTGATGACATCAAAAGTACCATTCCTATCTTACACATTCCTCATCTCCACTACCAGAAAAAGCCTGATTGATACTAAGGCCATGAACAGTCTTTGAAAAAGTCTCTTTGCAATGTGTAGGAGCATATGCCAACATTTTTTTTAAAAAAAAATCCTGCTTTGAAAGCTGCAAAGCTAGAGCCCTAAGAGACCATGCACCAGCCTGTTCCCTCCCATTTGTATGCAAAGTTCAATTCCTATCAGACTAAACTCCTGGCTTTCCTTCTGATCCTAACTGGACAAGTAGGCTGTCACCTCATCCCAGCAGTGTAGGACCAATGTGAGCGTTTGGTTCAGTTTGTACTGAAAACACTGGGACTTAAAATACTCAAACACTTAACTTCTACTGATTTCTTTTTAACAGAACCTAAGGGGCACAGTTGTCGTTTATGCATAAAAATATATATCTACATAGTTATCTATGTACATACTTCAGATGAATTCTGGTTACAAAATTGTTTTACATCAACACAGTTGTAAGAAGTGAGAACTTTACAGTTTTACTTGTTAAAACCCGTTTTAATTATCGGATGGTGTACCAAGCAATACATTTAAGCAAGTTGGGAAGAAGTTAGATCAGGTGAAAAATTATCTTTAAGCACTCATATTTTCACCATTCACACTCAAGAGATGTCAAGCTATTTCTCTTTATGTATTCAGGGCAAAGCAACCAAGACCAACTTTTCAAAATTTCTATTGTTAATAATTACCATTCAGCTTAAAGAGAATTCTCTGTATGCAAGATTTTTCCTGTCATCCTTAACATTGCAAAACCACTGATTTCCTTTCTTCTTCTTTTTAAAAACTGCTTTAGATTAAAAAAAAATATATGACAAGAACTAATACCTAGAATGAATAAAGAGGAAAAACGAATGAAAGCCCAAAGCCAAAACTGCAGGAAATCAAAATAAATAAAAAAATTTATAAATGACTTCCACATTTCTTTTACAGTTGTTATAAGTATAGATATAATTTAACATTTATTTATTTATTTATTTATTTATTTATTTATTTATTTATTTATTTATTTATTTCCTGCCTTATTTGTAAAAATAATAAAGGCAGAATGCAAATAAACAAAATAAAAAAATAAAAAGTTAAATTATATCTATATTTATAACAAGTGTAAAAGAAAATTGGAAGTCACTTCTTCAATAACTGAAGCTGGCTAACCTACCTACTACTCCTTCCTTCTCCTATTTTCCCCACAACAACTACCTTGTGAGGTGAGTTGAACTGAGAGAAAGTGACTGGCCCAATGTCACCCAGTTGACTTTCATGATTAAAGGGGCACTTGAACTCATGGTCTCCTGCTTTCTAATCTGTGATTTAACAACTAGATCAAACTGGTTATTTTATGGTTACAGCACTGTTTATATTTTCCTGTAATCTACCATTTTTATTCTAATTATCAAAACCATATATATTTTCATCCCCCCCCCCCAAAAAAAGTCAATAATGGGTTTTCAATTATCATCCTCAGTAGTTTTAAACTGATCCCATTTGTAAAATCAAGGCAAAGAGGAAAATTAATTCTATTTTAAATGTTCTGGTCATAAGACTACAATATTTGATTACTCATGTTTGATTGGTTTTGCTGTGACTTGTGTTGTTTTTGGTTGAAACAAACAGTTTAGAAAAATATTCTGTCTATTGTTTCAATATTTCTCATTTTGAAGGGTTGAGTTCATGAATTATCATCAGAACTATTTGTCGCTTAATTTAAGTAGCATCCCTAAATTAGTTTATTGCAGTTCGGCAATACAGTACTGATCAATGTCATAGAAGTCACAAAAATAATATTGCAGAATAATAAAAATACGTATTCCGCGGCCACTATATATCGGTGAAAACATTGCTCACTTGAATCTTCAGATTTACAATTGAATGTTCAGTTCTAATTATGATTAATGCCAACATGTTCACCATAGACATGGTTGTCTATGAACCATGGGTTGGCTGGGAGCGCTGCCTTCAGGGCTGCTGTGAGTTTGTCCCGGCTGGGGTCTGTTTGTTGTCTGGTTTGACCCCTGGTAATGACTTGTGCAGCTGATTGTGAAGGATGGCATGGATGACTTCCTCCCTGCGTCTACCAAATTGGGGCTTTCTCGATAAGGCATCTGCTAATAGATTCTTTCCTGCTGGGATGTACTTCAGTTTGAATTTGAACCATCTGAAGTACTGCACCCAGCGGATTTGTTTAGGAGACAATTTCCTAGGGGTCTTTAGGGCTTTGAGGTTTTTGTGATCAGTCCAGACCTCGAAGGGCACTTTTCCCCCCTCTAGAAAGTGCCTCCAGGAGAGAAGGGCCCAATGGACTGCATACGCTTCTTTCTCCCAGATGGCCCACCTTCTTTCTGTGTCAGTTAGCTTTTTTGACACATAGGCACAGGAGCTGTCCTTGTGGGTCTTTTTGCATGAGTACTGCTGCTACGGCCACATCGCTGACATCCGCTTGGATTATGAATTGCTGTTCTGAGTCCTGATCAGGGGTGAAATCCAGCAGGTTCTGACAGGTCCTGGAGAACCGGTAGCAGAAATTTTGAGCAGTTCGGAGAACCGGTAACGGAAATTTTGGGTAGTTCGGAGCAACGGCAAATACCACCTCTGGCTGGCCCCAGAGTGGGGAGGGAATGGAGTTTTTGCAATATCCTTCCCTCAGGAGTGGGGAGGTAATGGGGATTTTGCAGTATCCTTCCCCTGGAGTGGGGTGGGAATGGAGATTTTGCAGTATCCTTCCCCTGACATGCCCACCAAGCCACACCACGCCCACCAAGCCACGCCCACAGAACCAGTAGTAAAAAAATTTGAATTTCACCACTGGTCCGGATGTTGGAGGATTGGTTCCTCAGCGAACAGCTGACATAAGCATTTAAACGAAAATGGATTGTGATATAAACCTTTCTTGACTAGAAACTAACCAGCATCTTAAGGGTGAAAATACACAAAACCTTCACTAAGATTTTACAAAGGCAATTGTTTAATCAATTTTCCATCCAGTGAAGTGGTTTCTGTTGAACTAGGAAGGAGTTTTTGGTTTTAGTTCAATATTTACCAAATTTATAGTTAGGCTTATCAGACACTGTGCGGACCTCTGATAAGATAATAGGTGGGAAAAATGGTTAAAAGTAACAGCTGTATCTGAAATCATATCTCTAGCATTTGTTCAGATCTTGAACATAGTGGCCTGATTTGATTCCAGAGTTAAATCATAATCTAATGCTACAGAAATTTTAGCCTCAAGTAGTTTTTTTTCTATATTAACTTTTTCCTTCTTAACTGTTGGTGTATTTTAAATTTCTTTAAGGAAAGACTAAGGACAATAAACATGAAATTAATTAGCATTTGGAGGCTCCCATGAAATGATGACAGGAAAGGATCCCTCTCTCAAATTTTAGAGACATCTCTAAGGTTAGTCTTTTGTATCTTTTCTCTATCAACATGAGAATAAAAAAAAATCTGCAATACAGACAAGATCAATTAGTCTTATACAAATGTAGTGTATAATACAAACGAGAATCAAATTTCATTGTGGTAACTTGAAGCCTCTTTCCATGAAAATCAAAAAGGGTTTTCTTGCATGTTAAAAGTGTGAACACATTATTTCCAAAGGAAAACAGTTACGGATATGAATTTCATTTTTTAAAATCAGTTAGTTAAAGCTGCCTCATTGATACTCACTGTTGTGCTTAAAGACTCTAATAGTAGCACCTGACAGCCTTGCACCAAGAACAAGTGAAGTATGGTTCAACTCATCACTTAAAATTAGACAACCCTGTGGAAATACATAGCAAAGAATTACAATCAACATCTAACTAATATATTACAATGAATTAAGCAAGCAAGCCAACAAGAATATTGTTTGCCTTATTTAACCTTGCTGTAATTATCACCAGCTATCAAAAATAGTAAATACAAACATAAGGAACGTAAGAAAAATACATTGCAGATGCCTCTTTCTCTCTCTCTCAAAAATGAATTAAAAGAAACCACACCTTAAAACATTATAATAAAATCAATACAGACTAATATTTATAGCTAACACATACCGTATTTTTCGGAGTATAAGACGCACCAGAGTATAAGACGGACCTACCTTTTTTGGTGAGAAAAAGAAGAAAAAGAAATCTCCCTCTGCCTCTGCACAATTTTGCCTCGTTGCAGCAAACAGCAAACAGCCTGCTTTACTTTCATTTTCGTTTTCAGCATAGTTTGATTAGCACAAGGAAAAAAAAATCTGCTCCAGCAATTTACCTCTTTGCAGCAAGCAGCAGAGCCCTGCCCAAAACCGCTGACAGCAAATCAGCTGAGTTGGGAGGTCAATCCAATCAACTTGTGCTAATTAAGCTGTGCTGAAGCTGAAAGGAGCTGTTTTTTCTTGCTGTTTGCTTGCAAGGAGGTACCTGTTGCGAGGCAGAGGCCAAAGGGTGGGGGCCAGTGGGTAGGCGGGGCTACATTCGGTGTATAAGACGCACCTAAATTTTCACCCCCTTTTGGGCGGAAAGAGGTGTGTTTTATACTCTGAAAAATACGGTATATGTGCGTGTATAATTTTATTCAGAATTTTGATTATTAATAAAATCTAATGCAAAGTAAACTTAAAAAGAATAGAAAGAAAGAGTAAGAAATATAAGGGCAAAGGGAAAAAAAGAAAGAAAAGAATAAAGAAAGAGAAAAGAAATATATAAAAAAGTGATTTCCAACTTTCATCACTATACAAAAATTTAGTGACTCTTCACCCATTGCAAACAATTGTTTCTTCATCCTATCCCTTGTTTATAGACAAATACGTAAGACATCTTTTCAGTCCTAATGTATGTCAGCAAAAAATCCATAAGGATTGCCAGAAGCAATGACATCTCTTGTTTCAACCTTGATTAAAATAATAAAATATTCCTTCCTTTTACTTATAATAATCTTTAGTTGATGCAAATATTGTCCTAGGATTTGATTTCTTTTAATTTCTTATTTGTCTCATCACACGGTGTTCTTCAAGGCTTTAACAAATCTCCTTTGAAAATCCAATAGGAAAAAATTGTCTAGATCACTCTCTAGGTTTATCATTTGTATTTCCCTTTTGAATGTTAAAACATTAGCCAATTTCTTTATAGATCTAGTGAAACATCCTTTTGCAAGATATTCTCTTCACCTGTCAGTTATAAATCCAGTCTTTGTCTTGTCAGATCAAATTTGTTCTAGATCTGTCATTTCTTCAATAACATATTTTTGACATATTCTGTGCATAGAAGCAGATATTATTATTGACATTGTTCATATTGTGGCTTCTAATTTCTGATTTTGTTCTTCAAAATACTCATTCAGCATTTTATAGACTTGTATTCTTACGGTCCCAAAAATCTTTAGTCCCCTCTAGTGTCCAGTTTTTAAATCATGAAATTACTTATCTCTATTGTGTCTTTCAAAAACCAAAACAGATCTATGGATTTCCCATGAGAAGCTGTTAGTTCTTTATAATTAATTCCAAAATCCTATTTTAAAAGTTTCAATATTTCAAATTTATCAGGATCCTTAGCCCGTTTATAACTTTTTAAGAAGAAAATCTTCTTTAGCTTTTGGCTACTTATTTCAGAGTCTTTAAACTCTTATGATTAAAATTGTCTTTTGTTCAGGATAGAAGGCAAACTCACTCAATGTCTTCAAACCTGTCATTCTGAAAGTCTCCAAAAGTAGTTAATGAGCAATTTCCAAAAAAGATTAGCAAGTGAGATTAGCAAATGTAGGCACAGGTCATGGGGTTGCCAACATGATGGCTATTGCTGTCATCTCCCAGCATTCAAGCCAGTAAGATATAAGCTTATAGACTTGTTCCAAGAGTGGCTGTCTGAGACACAGGTAGGTTATCTCCCAACCTCTCTTTGTCCAGAGAGGTTCGGAAGAACTGGTCTACTCATCAGCTCTTCATTCTTCATGGCAGTCATCACCTCCATTTTCATGGAGACATCTTCAATTCCTTCATTCCTCCCCTGGAAGCCAAGGTTTTTGAGATGGCATGTAGTTTAACTAATGACACATTTTGACATATTATTGTAATATTTACTATTTTAGACATTGCCTTGGTAAAATTGGTAAATATGAAGGAGTGATTTAATTTGGTATCTGGAAAAGAGTTAATAGTAGAGAGGCCAGATTTTCCCCCCCCATTTAAATTAAAGTTGCTATCCAACTATGTTAATAATATGAGTTTTTTGGTCCATCTGCATTTTGATCACATGACCACAGGGATGCTGCCACGGTTAGAAGCGTGAAAATGGTCATAAGTCACTTTTTTTCAGTGCCGTTGTAACTTTCAACAGATACTAAATGAACTGTTCTAAGTCGAGGACTATCTGTATTTGTTACAGGTCTGAGAAGAACTGAAGCTTCAAAATCAAAAACCTATGCTCATAAAAGAAATTGAAGAAAATAGATGAAATCTGCATTAATTAGTACTAATTTAGGAATTAAAACCTTCATTAATATTTCAGATTTCTTCTACTACTATATAGTCATATTTTGGTCTGAAATGTATCAAATATCTTTACCATGATCAATACTTATTAAAACTCATTTTTCCTTTTTTGGCTATATCCCTACATTTGGAATTTGTCAAGGCATTAAGAATGGTGGATTGTCCTTGCAGAGGATTAGTAAAACAACAACAGCATAAGACTAAAAAAACCTCCTGATTTGCAGTCATGGAGAACTGAGAATGTACTATTTATCAACAGAAATTAGTCTTTATTGTTTTGGATAGAGATAAGAAAGAAGACTCAGCAAATGTAACTCTTGTTTTCATGGACAAGACAAAAACAGAGGCATCAACAGGTGGGGAATGAATGACAACGTGAATGTTTCAGTGTTATAATCCTTGCTTAGCCATTCTGATGAAATCATAGAATTGTGTGGATGCTTCTGAATGAATATTTTCTAATAGCCTGATTCCTGTATCATATAGATTCTCCATGAAAGCAGTTTGACAAAACTTTAAACAGTTTGACAAAACTATTCTATGTGTATAATTAAAATTCTTATAATGCGCCAATGGTTTCATTTATGTTAAATACCAGAAACCCTCTCTTAAACACTGCCCAAATGAAATTAGTCTGCTGTTGTATAATTGTATTTAGTTCAGCAACATGTAAGTAGGAGAAAAAGTTCCTAGTGGTTATCCTAATATGTGCTCCTTCAATATAGCAGTGTCAGAAGCAAAACTTAATTATTAAATCAACTAAGTTTAATGCAAAATATGTGGAGAAGTACCACAGCTTGCCTTGCATTCTAAAAGAAATGAAATAGCTTTCCACTGTACAGTATTTAAATTTCCTGGGCAACGATCAAAACAAACATATTTGGAAGGATGTTCACTTACCTTCCCTACTAATGCTGGAATATTCATAGAATTTGTAGCAAACCCCATACCAAATGCCAGAGCTGATTCAACACCAAGGAATTGTGCTACCGTATTTTCTAACTCCACATGTTTATCAAAGTTTCCTGTTATAAACAGCAAAAAATATTTTAAAGGATCTCATTAGTATCATTCATGAACATCTAAGCTAAACTGTAATACAAACTTATTTACTTTCACATATGCAGAGAAGAGCAATAAAGATGATTAGGGGACTGGTGGCTAAAACATATAAAGAACGGTTGCAGGAACTGGGTATGTCTAGTTTAATGAAAAGAAGGACTAGGGGAGACATGATAGCAGTGTTCCAATTTCTCAGGGGCTGCCACAAAGAAGAGGGAATCAAGTTACTCTCCAAAGCACCTGAACTTAGGACAAGAAGCAATGGGTGTAACTAATCAAGGAGAGAAGCAATTTAGAATTAAGGAGAAATTTCCTGACAGTTAGAACAATTAATCAGTGGAACAACTTGCCTCCAGAAGTTGTGAATGCTCCAACACTGGAAGTTTTAAAGAAGATGTTGGATAACCAGGTGTAGGGTTTCCTACAGGGGGTTGGACTAGAAGACCTCCAAGGTCCCTTCAAACTCTGTTATTCTATTCTATCAAATTTTGTCCCAACCATTCCCCATATCCTTTGATATTATCTCCATATTAGATTGGCCTATTTTACAAGAGGGTTGTCATATGAGTTAGATGAGGATATGTGAAATTTATTTCGAACATCATAACTCATGTCATAAAAATAATATGTATATGATGAAACATATCAACACTGACAATTTTAAAAATTATTCATTCTAAAATTTATAATTAAAAGTGCTATGTTTCTTATAGGGAAAATATGAATTGTATTACAATTAAAGCACCTGTATTCCAATCTTTATTTTAAGATAAATAGTAAAGTGATAAAAAGAAGTACAAACAAATCTGGAAATGCATTGAGGACTGAAGAGAAACAAACAACAAACATCCCCCACAAAAAGCAGAAGAGTGCAACAAAATGAAAATTCCACAGAAACAATACAGCCAATAATTTCATTGGATAATCTCAGCTATTATGCAGGTTTAAAATCCTTTGAGAAATAAAGAGTCTTTACTTGGGGTTGAACAAAGCATTAGTTCTAGCACTAAGGAAGCTTCCCTGGGAGATGAGCTTTCCATATTAGCTGAGAAAATCCTTTCTTCTGGGGAATAGTTGGACTTTTCATGAACAAGTACAAAAAAAAAATACATATTTTGTTTCTTAATGAAATTAAAAAATGCTAGCTTTTTTTCAATTTCCCCCTTTATTTTGCACATGTATATTGTAAGTATTAGAGATAATACAATATTATTTGTATTTATTTAGTTTTGCTTACCTCTTTTGATTTTTTCTATTGCAAAGCCAAACTATAGTTAGATAATCTGAAGTATCATAGCTTTTGAATGCTACCCCCAACATATTTTAAATTCTGAAAATATAGCAAATAATATAATCACTATATCTTCTTGTATCTATTCTGCTCCCCAAATAGGAAGGGGACGAAGTAGTTTTCACTTACTTCTTTATTCATGTCTGAAAAATAAGGGAACTTTCCTAAATGTCATATAAGAACATGTCAGGAGAAACTTTACAAAAATCTCCTCGGAGTAGAAGTTTCCACTAGAGAGTAGCCATGATCTTGAAGATATAGATTTGGATCTACGCTAATACATTTAATCTTCATGTTATGTAAAATGGATTTAGATCTAAACCTCCCTTGAAAGTTTCTCATTTTTGGATTATATTTTGCTTCTGTTCCCTCCTATTAAATTAGAAACCCTAATATATGCACTGAATAATCATGAGCTGCCCAAATAAATTCACCCATTCCATTTCCTTCAATTAGCAATAACTGAGAGATCACCAAAGTACTCTTCTGTAATAAAACCCAACATAACAAGCTAAAGATATTCTATCAACATACTTTGGAAAATGCCAACATGCAAGTCTTTATTTGTATGGCAATGGCTCACTATTTAAACTATAATGAGAATTGGTTCAACATTGCAGGCACCCAACCTGACCAACAAGGATTTGTAAAAGTAGCCCTACTGCTTTGCATATTTCTAATTAAAATGGAACTTCTGTGGATGGTAGGGTGAGGTGTTTGTGAATGTTCGTGACAAAGAGATTTTGGGTGGGAATGAAAAGCCCAGTTCAGTTTCATCAAATTTCCCTTTTAATGCAGAAGGATAATGCGAAGTTAAATATGGTTATGAACAGTTCTAATTCCCAAGGCTCACTGAAGCAGGATAAATGTACATACATAGTAGAGTGAAGTAACCACAGTATGTCCCACTCATTCATGTGGATTAAATCAAGGAATTATATCTTAATTGAAGAATACAGGTAATGCTCAATTTATGACCACAATTGAGCTCTGAATTTATGTTGTTCAGTGAGAAATTTATTGAGCTTTGCCCCGTTTTACAACTTTTCTTGCCAGAGTTGTTAAGTGAATCACTGCAGCTGTTAAATTAATAACACAGTTAAGTGAATCTGGCTTCCCCATTGACTTTGCTTGTCAGTAGTTCGCAAAAGATGATCACATGACCCTGGGACATTGCAACCATCATAAATATGGACCAATTCTCAAGTATCTGAATGTTAATCGCATGACCATGGTGATTGGTGTGAAAAATAGCAATAGCACTTAGAATTATATACCGCTTCACAGCCCTCTCTAAGTGGTTTACAGTCAGCATATTGCCCCCAACAATCTGGGTCCTCATTTTACTGATCTTGGAAGGATGGAAGGCTGATTCAACCATGAGCCAGTCAGAATCGAACTGCTAGCAGTCAGCAGAATTTACCTGCAATAATGTATTCTAACCATTGCGTCACCAAGGCTGGGGGATGCTGTAATGTTGTAACTGTGAAAAATGGTCATAAGTCACTTTTTTCAGTGCTGTTGTAACTTTGAATGGTCACTAAATGAACTGTTGTAAATTGAGGACCTGTACATGCTTTGCTTGCAAAAGGTCTCAGGTTCAGTCCTTGGGTTGGGCTGGGAAAAGACATTTGTCTGAGGAAAGGATCACTATAAGCATAGTTTATACTAAATGTAATGGGTTAATGGTCTGTCTTAATATAAGGCAACTTTTGATTTTCTCTGGCATTTTTACTGCTAAGACACAGGAAAACAATTTGCAACAACCTATGTATTTGAAAATTTTGGTAATGTCAGAAGTTACAAAAAGGTAGTATGAGGAACTTTGTTTCTTCCCCTTGTCTGAACTTTCATGCCTCAGATAATTTTCAAACTCTCCGTGGTTTCTAACTGCTTTAATTAGAATGAAAATAAACATTTTCAGAATAGCGGTTTTGCACTGAATGACGAATCTCTCCTCAAGCTTGAGAAATTGAGAAACAAAGGGCTACGCAAGCTAACTTTCCCACAAAGATAAATTACCTCTGAAACATCCAGAAGGTTCACGAGCCATTAGAATTTCTCTTATGGTGAACAAAATAAAAAAAATGTTCAATCTTGAGTGCTTAGCCACTCTCGCTTTTCTGATATCTGTTCTGCATGGTCTTCAGCAAAACCATTGCTAACGCTAATCAGAATTCATATTTCACTATAAGATCAGGGTAGAAGGACCAGGGTAGCGTTCTTGGCTGGTGGTTTGGTGATCCGGTAGCGACGGCGGAGCATAGCTCCGCCCACCCGGATGTCATTACTTCCTGATTTTAACCAAGAAGTAATGTGTTTTTTACCTTCTGCACATGTGCAGGTTTTGCACATTCACAGAAGATCTGTGCGTGCCTGTGACGCATGCACGGAGTGCATGCGCTTCTGAACTGGTAAGGAAGGTAAGTAGATTTCATCCCTGAGAAGGACCCTTGATTAACACTAGCTAAACACCAAAGAGGGCAGAGGTCACAATCTCTCACTAGAGTAATATGTTCAGGTCTTATAATTTTACATACTGGATTAACTCTTAGACAACTAAACTACTTGGTGTTCTCCAGATGCTTGAGATTACAACTCCCACATTACTTTGCTATTGGCTATGTTGAAGCCAAAACATCTGGAGGACAACAGCTTGCCTATCATTACACTGAGTGTCTAGCATATTATGTAACTTGGGAACATTAAAGCCAAACAACAATTGCTAAACTTCAACATATGGAGGGACATTACATTAATTATATAGCCTTTGCACAGATCAATAGGCATGCCAGTTGCTTTGATTATAATACTAATTATGGACATTTATCTATGTGGTTATATTAATATACATTTGTAACCACTCATAAACTATGTTAATTTGTAATCACTCATTAACTGTGTTAATCATCCAAATTATATATATTAGTGAATGTGTGTGTGTATGTACTATACCGTGTTTCCCCAAAATTAAGCCCTCCTCCGAAAATAAACCTTCCCCCAAAAATATTTAAATGCCAGTCCCTAGCATCTCCTCTGGTTAGGGTAAGGGAGATAGAGCTGGAAATCAGGTATGACAGCAAGAGGAACCCCATCTTGCTCCATTGCCCCAAAATAATAAGACCTCCCCGAAAATAAGGCCAAGTGCTTATTTCAGGGCTCAAAAAAATATAAGACAGGGTCCTATTTTTGGGAAAACACGGTAGATACATGCCGCAAAGCCAAAAACATTCAGATATGGGAAATGATTGCAGTGTCAAAACAATATTTAGATATCAATTGGATCTTCTAGGAGAAATGCTTATTGCTGAGGGATGAAAAACGCTACTCTGATAACAATAGCTGTTCAGAATTATTTTATGACAAAGAAATTATCCTTTCAATCATGGGTGTAACACATTATTGGATCTCTACATACAATAATGCCTCTGCCTAAAAAATTGCTGCTGCCTTCCTAACTAAAACTGAGCACAACTTAAGATAGAATTAGAATTCTCCTTTTGGAAAAAATGTGTGACTTCATTACATGATGAAAGGATCACTGTGCTGCATCATGGTATACTATGTCAGATTTAAGAGAGCACAGGGAAAACAGCCATGTAAAGCAGGGGTGGGTTCTAAAATTTTTTACTACCGGTTCTGTGGGCGTGGCTTGATGGTCATGTGACAATTATTTAGGATTTAGCAGAGGTATTGGTCTACCAGGCTTTTAAGTACTTGCAGAGCTGTATTGATCTACCCATTTATTTTTTGCAGGCACTCATCTATTCATGTATTTTTGCAGGCACTGATCTACTCATGTATTTTTGCAGGCACTGGTCTACTCATTTGTTTTCTTTTAACACTGATCAGCTGTAGGGCGGCCCTTTGAAGCCCCGCGGCAAGAGTTTAAACAGGTTTTTTCCCTCTAGTCATTAGCTGGGACTCAGGAGGCAGCAATAGATTGGGGGTGGGGCCAAATAAAAGGTAAGAATAATGCAGGGGGTGGGGCGCAGAACCGGTTCAGTGACATCATATCATCACCACTACCAGCTCAGGAGAACTGGGCCGAACTGGGAGGAACCCACCACTGATGTAGAGTTTTACTTCATTAAAACAAAAATGAAATTAACTTCTGGTATTAAAAGCTGTTCATACCAATGCTGCTTTTAAATGAAGTTAACTGAAATGCAATTTTAAAGCTGAACAAGCAAAACCACTCTCCTATTCTTGAAAGCTTTAAAGTGTATTCAAAGATTATAATCCAGGCAATCCTATACATGAGGAGTTTTAGCTGAGCAATAATTACTCATAGTTTAACAGTTTCTGGTTAGGCAACAAGTAGTTGTTTATGGGGGTGGTTGGGTATCTAGGTAAATAAGTATAAGAGCAGCCACCCAAGTGAATTGCGTTAATGAATAAAATTCATTAAGAAGTCAAATCCACAGTATAGTTCTAAATAAGATTTCTAGACTCAGATTTTAATAATAATAATAATAATTTTAACTTACCAATTTCCTGTCTGGTGCTACATATTCCTGTGCCATATTTATTTAACACTGAACTCACTGTTTTCAAAGCATTGTGGTCAGTTTCTGCAAAGCCAAGGTAATTATATGAACCCATATTGATTACATTCTTGATTATCCTTCCAGTGAACCTATAATAGTCAAAGAAAGTATAACAACATAAAGTCTAATTATTACTAAAATACTTTTTAATTAACCAAATCTATTTTAAAATTCAGTTAATACCAGGAGACTAGAATCCTCTTTCCTTCCTAAATCAATTCAGGTAATCTTTTCTTCAGCCAAGGCTGAAGGAGGTTTTTCATTTCAGGAAAGTTATAAAGCAACAAGTATTATCCAATAAAACTGTTTTCTTTGATACCTCTAAATTTTCCCCTCCCTTCCCCTTCCCTCCTTTAATTGCCGTTTTTAAATTTATACTTAATGTATTTTATGCATTTTGTATGTTCACGTACATGTATGTACACACACATGCAAACAAAAACATGTTAATCAAAGACCACAATAAAGGCTTATCTTACCTTATCTTTCAGGAAAAAAAGCTGTATAAGACAATCACAATTTTCTATATAAACCCAGACTGTGCCCGAATATGCCTTTACGGATGTCAGCACAAGAAGTATTTTATAGGATGCTTAAAGTGCCTTTGTAATTAACCTTAAGCTGAATTAACCTTAAGTGGCAACAGTGAGATAAATCAGACAAGACACAGTGCCCCAAATGGTGGTAACCTTTCACCTACTGCTATTGGAAAAACTACCCTTCCTCCTCTACTTGAACATATCCCTTTTTTTATGAGTATAGAGGTTATACAACATTCAGCAATCCTTCAGATCATCACTTCTAACTTTAAATTATTATTAGATAGTCCAGGTCCTGTTGGGTCATTGTTTCAGAGGTATTTCCTTACCAGATTCCTCAATGCCTCCAACAATGACAGAGTTTCTAATGTACTGCCTTCACTAGAAAAGTTGAGATATATTCAGAGATGTATCAAAAATAACTTACCCTGAATATAGCACAGTCAAATATCACCACAGGAAATGTTTTATGACATTCTGTATTGTGTCATAAACCACTTTATGATAAAGTTTATGTCATAAAATGTTTTATAAAATTTGCCAAATTTCAATTCCACGGGAGTCATGGGTCCCAGATTTTGAACACATTCTATAAATTAAGCCAATTTGAGGTTCAAAACATTTTGCTCTATGGCCCACTGTTTCACCCAGTTGAAGGTTTCAGGAATTAGAGTTCTGGTGATGCATAGATTCACATATCCTCTTCTTTTTGTATATACACTCACTCCTTGTTTAATGACAACCATGTTTGGAAATTATTTGCAAATATAACAGTGATAAAAACTCATTTTCTGACCAATGCACCCATTTACAAGCAATTTTTGAATACCTGATGTGAAAGTAATGCAGGCACAGCTGTCTGAGAAAACTTTATCTGAATGAGATGGCAATAACCAGGGATCTTTGTGGCAACTCTCTCTCTCTCTTTCAATCAATCACGTGTTTACTTACTGACAATTTTGCTTAACAACCAGGTCACTGGAATGGAACCCGGTCACAAAACAAGGAGTGGGTGTATTGTACTCACCATCAGAAGAAAAAAAAAAAAAGAACACATGGCTTTTCATAGTACGTCAATTTCAAGTAAATGGAAAACCACTCATCAGGAAGAAGGCAACAACAGCACTAATTTTTGGCCAAGAGTATAACAAGTATACGTTCTAACTTTGAAACTGATACAAAATCAGGCCTATAAATATAATGTTTTGCTGCTAAAGAATAAACATAGTTTTATTTAATATTTATTTAATTTTTTTTATTTTATATTATATTTATTATATTTTATAAATATATATTATTATATATTAATTATATTATATATATATATATATAAATAAATATAAAATATATATATATATATATATATATATATATAATATTATAATTTAAATAATTATTTAATTTATTTAATATTTAATATTAATTAAAAGCACTTTGTAGACTGACCCACCTAAATGTCCAGTTGTTGTCATCTGAAACACGTTCCAACAGGTCAAATTTTGCTCCAGGAGCACTGCAGATAGGGCGATTCCAATTATCTCTTATTCTCATATAGAAGTTTCTTGTAAAAAAGTGTTCAAAATCTTGATAAAGTGGGACAAAATCCTAAATGTTTTTTTTAAGAAAGAAAAAAAGCTGCCATGTTAGTATTTGCTTACTTTTTTATTGAAATTAAGTAACTATTCAAATTAGATAACTGTTATGTGTTGCAGGTCCCTTATAGCCAACCTTAGTTCAATTCTTACATTTTCATCTTTTGGGAAAATTAATATAATACAAGGCAACATAAACACGTAGGACATGATATCCTTATGTGTCTTTCAATCCTTATACTGTCATAATTAGATCTGAAAATCCTGAATTCAAACTCCCACTTAGCTATAAAATTGAGCAATCTCAGGCTCTGTTTAACTTAATTCATTTGACTTAAATAGTTCTTGTCATTCTACCTAATGCCTAGTATTATATACAATGTCTAGAGAACGTACATAGCACATTAAAATAAGACAGTTGTTCATTCTTTGCCTAAAAAAATAAATTAAAAAAAATCACATATTCTATAGATTTCCTATGCATTCTACACAATGCCAGCTTTCACACATTGCTGGTAACATATATATATGCATATGTCCAGCAAATGAGGAAAGGCTGAAAAGCACTTTACAACTTTACAAAATGTTTACCTCTGTCAAACTTCTATCCGTTTGTTAAGAAATAGTGAAAGAAGAAATCGTTTATATCAATGGAATAACTATTTTTTTTCAGAGAAAGGTGATTTGAAGACCGGGAACCTAATTAATATATGTGCATTTCTGATTGCACAGAAGATACTCTTATTTTCCTGCAATTATCATATACAAATATAATATCCATCCCTGACAGTGGTGGGTTGCTACTGGTTCGCCCCGGATTGGGCGAATTGGTAGTGGCGGCGGCGGGAGGCTCTGCCCGGACGCTTCTACACATGCGCAGAAGCGTTGCATGTGCATGCCCACGAGCGAACTGGTAGCGACGGGTTTGCTGGATGCTTATCCTACGCTTGGGTAGGTAATATATAGAAAACTATGTTCTGTAACTTTAACTGCTACAAGATGACTAATTGGCTGTGCTAAGCAGACATAAAAGAAGGCAGGAAGTTCATTCACTTCTGCTCCTGCTATTAGAAGGTTGAACTGCTGAAAGGAACTGTGTCTGTGTTACTGAAGAGAACTGGAATTGTAAGCAAACTATGTTTTTGTGTTGAACCGTGATTATTTGAAGAATTGTTATCTTTGTTTTGAGAAGCCAAGTTTGTTTTTTTTTACTACAAGTAAAGACAGTTTATTTTTCTTTAAACGTTCAGAGTCTGTGAGTATCTGTGTGTTTTGCTAAGCAACGTATCTATTCGCTGTCTGGTCCGTTGCACCACTTTGCAGAGGGCAGTTTCACCCTCAGCAGGGTTTTGAAACCCGCCCGATGCCTGAACTTCGAATGTCAGATTGAATGTTTCTTTATTACACACTTCCAATCCTGTCTGTTTATGGTGCCAGAAAAGCAGATCATATTTAGGGAAGGTACATTTCCTATAAGAAACAAAAACCATATAAATATATACCATGTACTTTTTGTGCTCATTGTTAAGGAGACCTAGGACCGGAAGGAATAGACTGAGACCCAATCTCCGCAAAATAGAGTGGCTTTGGTTTCAAAAGTCTGACAATTTTAGCAAGAGTCCCTTGTAAACTTTGAGCGTAGTTGCTGATTCACAATTTAGGAATTATCTTGGATCTATAGCTCCTGCTTCAGGAGCAAGGAACATTGCAAGGGAATATTGCACATCTTGAATCTGTATACCAATTCCTGAAATAGCATTACTTGTTGTTGCTCATGCGTCGGTTAATTGGACTACTGCAAGTTTTACATGGTGCTGCCTGGAGAGCTTTCAGAAGCCAAGAGGATCCAGAATGTAATGTCTTAGGTAGTGACAGATACGTCTTGAGGCACTCATACAATCTCTGAGGTCTATGACAATTCACCATGGCCAACTTGCCACTGCCAATTCACTGCAGGACAACTCACCATGGCCATTTCACCAAAGGAGAACTTACTGTGGGACAAGAGTTACACTAATATCAAAGAAATGGTTGAATAGAATTATTAAAGAAAGGATGCAAAAGGAGGGGCAAATGAATTTGAGTGGCAAAAATTAAATAATTTTTATTTATTTTAAATAATTAAATAGAATTGTTAAATTGTCCCTCAGCGTGTTATCCCATGGTGAGTTGGCCGTAGCGAGTTGGCTGTGGCAAGTTGTCCCATTCCCTATTCTCTGTATTATTGGTTGCAGTTAGCTCCTGAGTGCAATTCAAGGTGTTAACTGTCTTGCTATACATCTTCACAAGTAGCAAATGTCACCTCTAGGGCCCATGTAAACATTGCTTTTCTGTCACTGCTCTCTCCTTTGGAGCAACATTGCTTTTGAGGTTCAGTCAGTTCATTCTTTTCTGGCTTTTGAGGAAACAGGTAAAAACATCCAGGGAGGTTGGATTGTTGTAATTGCCTGTTGGATTATGAGATCACATCCATATTATTACCGTTAATACTTTATCTTGCTTTTCCTGTTTCCCTAGAAACATTATGCAGTTTTTAAACCAATTGTATGGTCATAACACAAACTACCTATTGGGGAGTTATATGCCACTCAGTATTGGTAGATTGGAATGGCCTGTGAGTTCGGTAAGTAAAAGAAAACATATGTAGTTGGTCACGATTTATGTTAATCTGGATGTGTAACTAAATCATTAGCAAACTAAAAATCTATGACTATCCATCCATATTTGCTGAATAGCGGATGATGCTTGAATGGAACCTAATGAGGCAATCAGAGTTATATTTTGTGAGGCTTACCTGAGATATATTTGAACTTGTGGATTTTGAGAATCTGGAAAGGATTCTCTGTAGTATAAAATGTGCCACCTTCAAACTGGGCATAAGTCCTACTGGGCTGCCTATTCTGGGCAGCCTCACAGATTGAGTGGTGTGCAGTTGGATTGCAGAGAAGCTCTTTGTTCATTATAATTCCCAGTGAGATATGGAAGCAAATAATTTTCTCCCTTTCCAGCTAGCCACATAAAACTTTCTTTTAATGACTCTGTAGTCCCTGTTCAGGATAGAGTCAGGGTGACTGGATGGGACTAAGCATTTACTGGCCAGATGCCCTTCCTGACACCTATGCAGAGTTTGCAGCGGATGTTTTTTCTTTGCACCCTAGGAGAGAAACATCTTCTACTGCTACCTAGGATTGAATTTTCAACTTTCCGAGTGGGAGGAGAGTGTCTTCCCCTCTAGGCTACCATGCTGCTCCCTCCCAGCCACATAGGAGGAGGTAAATAAATAAGACAGGGGAGTGTATGTGTTTTAAAGGAATTCATACAGCTTGTCTTTGTGCATAACACTCCAAAACTGTAATGAGAAAATAATCATATTTTGTTAATCTGTAGTTTAGCAGCTACATTACCTAAGAGAATCATGAAAACCCGGCAAATTTCTGCCTCCCTATTAATTGCATTTAAGAGCTATTCAGATCAGCTTTCAGAACACTGACATAGAGGTTTGGGCTGATGAGTAGAATAGAATAACAGAGTTGGAAGGGATCTTGGAAGTCTTCTAGTCCAACCCCCTGCTTAGGCAGGAAACCCTACACCACTTCAGACAAATGGTTATCCAACATCTTAAAAACTTCCAGTGTTGGAGCATTCACAACTTCTGGAGGCAAGTTGTTCCACTGATTAATTGTTCTAACTGTCAGGAAATTTCTCCTTAGTTCTAAGTTGCTTTTCTCCTTGATTAGTTTCCAAACATTGCTTCTTGTCCTGCCCTCAGGAGTGTTAATCCTAAATTTCTAACAGGTACTGTGCTTTTTCTTTTTAGAACTTGGGGCAAGAAATCTTAGAATTGCCACAACTGCTGTCAGGAAATACTCCATATTCACATATTTTACTATCCATTTTGTCCAAGTCATCCACAGGAGAAGCAATAGGCCTAATGCCTTTATTTGTCTGCTTGTTTCAATCTTTTGTCTTTTCCATTCTGCTCTACTTCTTGAGAAATAATTTGGGGTTGTTCATACAGGTTCAAATCTTACGTACCATTTGCTCTTCCCGTTCGATAGTGCCAATCTTTGCTTGTATTCCATAGTCTCTTAAGAAATCTCGCAAGTAGCCAAACAATGTTGCAAATACAAAACCAAGAAATGTAAGCACAGAAACATACATGGGTGGTTGTTCAAAGGATTCAATAAATGGTCGTTTATAGATGGTTCCATTTGCTACACCATTTTCCTAAAAAAAACAAAAAACAAAGTTATATATAGTAATAAACATTCATCCACTTAAAAGTGTAGTGATTTTAGTGTGTTTCACTGCTACCATCTGTCCAATTTTTTTAAAAAAAGTTTCACACAAAAGAAGATATCTCAACTAATCGTGAACAGTTTCTAGTTATTTTCTATTTCTTTGCTAACACAAATATGAAAAATAGCCCAACAGATTTGACAATTGACTCATTCTAAGAGTAAAAAATAAATGAAAACCAATTAATAGAGACTCTTGATATAAATATAAGGAAGAGAGAATAAACTTAATTTTTTTTAAAAAAGTTGGGTACAGCACATTTCTGCAGCTCAGGATTTAAGATTCTAATCCTGAAGTGTGCTTTCTAACTAAACCCTAATTATTATAGCAAGTTGCTAAACCATGGAATTATGTAGGGAAATTTCTATTCTTCCATAAGACCCCCCCCCCATTCAAACGGTATAGCAAAGAAAATCTGATTAATCAAAGACCTTCATTCATAACAAGAACTGCTCCTGTTTTAAAGATATTGAAGAAAGTATGTGTGAATATATAGAACCTCTAGTCATTCAATATTTTATTTAATATAATTTTTTTATATGCCAGTTTTTCCCCCTAATCACAATAAATTTAAATGGGTTTCTCTACTACTGAAATTTTCATATCTAAACAAGGTTTAGATAGGTATTACATGATACATAACATAACGTTCAGGGGCAACTAACATATTGTAAGATTTATATGTCTTGCTATAAAGCATTATGAGAAAGCCTTGATTGATCAAAATCATGATGGATTATGAAGCTTAATATTAATGAGTCCAACTAATGATACATGTGAGATTATAGAAATAACAGGAGTCAGTACAACCTTTGTGCAAAGATCAATGACACAATGGAAAACACAGTTGCTGGTCAACAGTGATAGTTTCAGAAAAGTTAATATAAAGAGAAAAATCTTTCAATGAAACCCATTGTCACTATTGTTGTTTGCCACTTTGTCAACAATATGAATAATTCAGATCACGTCTATCAAATATCAAAAACATCCCATTTCCTTTACATGGATGATCTGAAGCTGCATCGAAAAACACCATCTCAAATAGAATTGTTGCTCAACATTATCTGTATATGTAGCCAAGATATTACAGTGGAGTTTGGACTAGACAAACATGTCACCCACATCATCAACAGGGTAAAAATAGTGAAAACTGAAGGAATGAAGATGCCGTATGGAAATAACATGAGGAGTCTGGATGAAGATGATTACTACAAATACCCGGGCATCCTTCAAGCTGACAACATCAAGCATAATGAAGAAAAGAAAAAGTTCAGAAAATAATACATCAAGAGAGTGAGGAAGATCTTAAAGTCCACACTCAGTGGAGGAAATACCATAAAGACAATGAACACTTGGGCAATTCCAGTCATTAGATACATAGCTGGAATAGTAATCTAGATTTGAGGAGAACTAAAACTCTGAACAGGAAGGCCACAAATATAATGACAATGAATCATGCCTTTCATTCAAACAGCAATGTTGACAGACTATACTTACCAAGGAGAATAGGTGGGTGTGGAATGTTGCAAGTATAGCAGACAGTTGAAGAATTAAAAAGATCATTGGAAGAATATCTGAAGTACAATGAAGGAGATGCATCGAAACTGGTATGCCATGAAGGTTTACTAAGTTCTAAACTAGAGAGACCAAATTGGCTTACAAGAAAGACTAAATGAAGAACAGAAAAGAGATGTGGCAAGGCAAGGTATTACAAGACCAGTATCCGTGGCACTTACAATTCGTAGTCAAATACAGTCCAAAGTCAAAGTCCAGGAATCCAAGATCAATAGAAAGAAGAAATATGCAATAATATGGCAATAAAGCCAGAGCAACAGTCCCACATATCAGTCCAGTCTGATGGACTGAGTCAAAAGCTGGGAACCCCTAGCAACAAGGGCGGGACTTGACAACTATGACAGACTCAGTCCATCAATCTGAATAGACGAGTGTAACCCATGTCTGGCTGCTGTCTCCACCCACAATGGAGAATGAAGAAGCTAAAGTGCTGTGGGACTTTAGAATTTAAACAGACAGGCCCTTGCTACATAATACCCCCGACTTAAGAATTGTGGATAAGAAAGACAAAAAAGTGTGGATAGTGAATGTGGCAGTACTTGGAGACAGCAAAATAGAAGAGAAAGAAAGGGGGGGGGATCACAAAGTAACAAATGTGGCAAAAGAAAGCAAAGCTAGTAATCGGCACCTTCCATGGGTACAATCTCACTGGAGCGCCACTGGCATTGAATTGCAAAGGCAGCTTTACTCAGAACAGCTTAGATTCTGTGACAATACCATTAAACTATATCTACCTCTCCCAGGTCTTTGGGAAGGACTTGATGGGTGGACAAAAAAGCCAAATTCCATCTAACCTTCTAGCAGACTATTTGACAAACCATAATAATATGACATAACGCAATCACTAAAACTATTCACTGGAACATCTGTAAAAATTATCATATACCAGTAATGAAAAACTGATGAGAACATGTAGTTGAAAAAGTAATTTGAAATGAACCAGTTAAAATATTGTGGGATTTCCAAATTACAAGACTGATAAAGCTTACTTTAAAAGAATTAGAGATCACAATGCATCGAGATCTGAAAATCAAAATTGAAAGATTATGGCATAAATCGACTGTTGTGGCCCCAATGGTTATTGGTACACTGGATGTCATACCAACAGCATTTGGACAGCATTTAGAAAATCTGTGCATTGACAAAATCTATCGATCTATCAATTGTAAAAAGCCACATTGTTTGGATCTGTACATATACTACACTGACAACATCCTAGGTTCTTGGGAATAACTCGATGCACATGAAGGCCAACACTAGCTAAAAAACTGGCACCTGTAACTTCAGCTGTTTTGGACAGATAATAATAATTTCAAAATACCTGGAGCATCACCAAAACATCTGGAATACCACAGGCTTTGACAAAGTCACCATCAGTCAATTGCAAAAAGCAGCAGAACAATATACATCCTAAGCCGACACCTTTAATATGATTAAATAACAACATTCTGCCTATCTGAGAAGGACTTGATAGGAGGACAAAAATACCAGATGCAATCTAAACATTTGGCTGACTGTGCAAGTAACCATAATATCTTATTGCACTAAATGATAGAAAATGCTGTGATGTGTCCTTCACATATCAAAAAAAAAAAAAAAAAAAAGGCCTACCGCATGCTAAAAAGGTCCCTAGTTATGAATTCATATATATTTCATGTTTTCTAGTCTGGGAGAAAAGATGCAATGCATCATTACAAACCAGACACATCTAAACCAAATATACCAAAAGCTTACATTGATTAGAGTAGTTCTATGACTAAACAAAGAAAGGTTGCTTGAAACATCCACACTTGTAATTTAAATGAGTTTCAGGTATAAAGTATTAGTCTACCTTACCAACCTGTCCCCAAAGGATAAAGGCTGAATATTAGACCTTATCTGATTTCTTTCTATTCTTAACCTGAAAGATCCCAGAGATTAAAGTGTACTGAGCCTAAGAATTCTCATTCATCTTAGCACTAACAAGGAAACATTTTAAAGATAAACTTATTCATTTATTATATTTATAAATTTATTTTTATTCTTTGATTTCTTTAGCTGCCTATCTCAACAAGGGACTCAAATTTAAAGAATAAGTCCTCTAAGCATCTCTTTATTTAATTTGGGTAGCCAACCCATGTTCTGTCACAGATGGTAAAGCCAGCACTCATACAGAACATAACAAACATAAGAAATAAAATATAGCTAAGAAATGTTTATAATCCTGTCTTAACTCAAATATCTATTAAGAAAACATAGAACCTGGAAACTGGGCAGTCTACATCTACAAAATTCTAGCACAGGACCCTTGGAATCAACCACACCTTTCCTGAGTTTAAAGCTGCCTTCTGGTGTTCCCACTGCTTTGCAAGTAGTTATAGCCTCCAATAAAGAGAAGCATTAGCTGTAGCCTTCCTATCAATGGCCACTTTTGGTCCTTTCCCACATGGGACGGGTAATGGAACTGCAAACATCAGGAACTGAATTAGTATCTGGAAACTGAAAACAGTCAGAGTGGACTTACTTATACAATGGTGTCTGTGTACCTCTCTCTGTTCTGTCCCAGCTACAGACCCCAAAGAACGCAGCACACACAAAGTCTGTACAAACCTTAGTTTACTAAATTAAATCAGTCTTTTTCAAAAAAAGGCTGTTAATTAATTTTCTTAACAGCCTACAAGAATCCAAAGAATAAATAATCGTAATCTTAACTATGGTTGGCAGAAAGCCCAGAAGCAATTTGCAGGAAACTGATAAGAGAACTAAGATCCAGACGCGAAGAAGAGCGAACAAAATTGTTCCCTGGAGTGGCCAATTAGCCCTAAGCCTTACTCTCGAGATCTCCTCCTGAGGAGTCACTCCTGCCTTTTGGCAGCTCTGCGCGCCCCTGCATCGAGAAAAGGCTCCTCCTCTTCTTCCTCTTCATTTATGGGAGCTTCTGGAGGTTCTGAAGGCCCTGGCTGAATCCCCGCCTCTGGCAACACATCTTCTCCAGCCTCATTGTCTGACTCGAGTGCCAGCTGCACAGGCTGCTGGCGCAGCACACCAGCCTCCTCGCTGTCGGAATCAGTACTAGCTGCACAGGCTGCTGACGGGCCACAACACACACACACACACACTCTCTCTCTCTGTATATGTGTCCTATGTGTGTGTATATAGAAAATTGAAGAGACGCCAATTGTTGTCAGCTAGCTACACCATTAATAGCAATAGCAATAGCACTTAGACTTATATACCGCTTCACAGTGCTTTTACAGCTCTCTCTAAGAGGTTTACAGAGTCAGCCTGTTGCCCCCAGCAATCTGGATCCTCATTTTACCCACCTCGGAAGGATGGAAGGCTGAGTCAACCTTGAGCCTGGTGAGATTCGATCT